GTATTATTATCAGTGAGTTCCTTCATGTTTGCTATTAATTGATTTATATATTTGGGTGTTCCCAAGTTGGGGGCATAAATATTTACCATTGTTAGATCTTCTTGGTGGATAGACCCCTTAATTATGATATGGTGCCCTTCTTCATTGCTTGTTACAGTCTTTGGTTTAAAATCTAGTTTGTCTGATATAAGTATGGCTACTCCAGCTTTCTTTTGACATCCATTAGCGTGACAGATGGTTCTCCATCCCCTCACTTTCAATCTGGAGGTGCCTTTAGGTCTAAAATAAGTCTCCTTTAGGCAGCATATAGATATGTCTTGCAGCATATAGATGTGTCTTTTTTTTTATATCCATTCTGATACCCTATGTCTTTTGATTAGAGCATTTAGTCCATTTACATTCAGAGTAACTACTGATAGATATAATTTAATACCATCGTGTTACCGGTAAAGTGGGTGTTTCTGTGCCTTTCTAGTCCTTGTTGCTTTTGGTCTTTTTTTCCCCACTCAGAGTCCCCTTTAATATTTCTTACAGTGCTGGTTTAGTGGTCATGCACTCATTTAGTTTTTGTCTGTCTGGGAAACCCTTTATTACTCCTTCTATTCTGAATGACAGCCTCTTGGCTGCATATTTTTCCCATTCAGCATGCTGAATATATCATGTCACTCCCTCTGGCCTGCCAAGTTTCTGTGGACAGATCTGTTGTGAATCTGATCTGTCTTTCCTTGTAGGTTAAGGACTTTTTTTTCCCTTGCTGCTTTCAGGATTCTTTCCTGTATTTTGTGAATTTGACTATAATATGCCTTGGCGATGGTCAGCTTTTTCTTGGATTTAATGGGAGTTCTCTGTGCTTCTTGGATTTTGATGTCAGTTTCCTACCCCAGATTAGAGAGTTTTCAGCTATAATTTGCTCGGATAAGTCTTCTGCCCCCTTTTCTCTCTCTTCTTCTTCTGGGACTCCTATGATACAAATGCTACTATGCTTTAAGGAGTCGATGCGTTCCCTAAGTCTACATTTGTAGTCCAGTATCTTTTTTCCCTCTTCTTTTCATGTCACTGATTTTTGTGATTGTTGGGAAAGCCTGTTATATTCCTGCTCTGGAGAGGAATGGCTATATTAAGAGGAGGTTAAAAAAAAAAAAAAAAGGCAGCTAGATTCTATTTCCCCTAGAGCTGAAGCTTTAAAGCATTCTAGTTAGTAGACGTGGTGCTATATAGGGTTCATGCTGGTCTTCTGCGGGAGGGGCGTGCTGTGCTGATTCTTCAGGCGGACTTGCCCTAGTGAAGATGCACCTGCAGGGTGCATGGGGGCAGGGTTTGGTGTAAGCAGCTCTGGCCTCCACTGGGTGGTGGTATTTTGCTCACTCTAGTAGGTCAGTGCTGAAGTGGGGGAGGAATGGCATCAGCCCCCTCTCTTGTACCTGGAACCCGTGCAGGATAGTGAGTTCACCCCTGCCACTCTTCTGTGAGGAAGTCCTCACAGAAGAGCAAACAATCACCCTTCTTGTGTCTCCAGTTTCTGTCAGATTCCTGCCTTCACCCTGTCTGTGTCCAAGCTGTATGCCTGCCAGGGGGCACAGTACTCCTGTGTTTTATCTCAGGCATGTGGCTGGGTTTCAAAACTCCAAGTTTTAAGGATCAACACTGATCCTCTGGGGCAGGGTCTTGCCATGATTTTGCTGTTTGCTGTTTTGTCCCAGAAAAGCAGTCGCACGACCAGGCAGCAGTTCAGAGTTTATGGTAAGTGCAGCAAAAAGCCAGCACCAAGGATTGCTGCCCTAAGCCAGTGTCTTTATTCCTATGCTAGGAAACAAGGCAGCACCACTTCTTTTGTCCCTGGACAGGCTGTGCCACCACTCCCAAATGCACTCCAAGAGAGGGAATTGTTTCTCCCTGTGCGACCCAGGGGATCCTCAGACCATGCTGCCCACTCCCGGGTCTCTGTCCTCCTTCCCCACAGGAGCACGACTATGCCTGCCAGGCACAAACGGGGTGATGGCAAGGCCTTCTAAAACTTCAGACTTTGTGATCCACTGCTTATAATAACTTTCAGTAGTTAGTCCCTCTCCTTTTCCCAGTCAATAGTTTGGGGGAAAAATTTTTCTAGTGTAATCCCCTGTACACTGCTTTTCTCTCTCCCTCCCTCTCCTCTCTCCATAATCAGGGCTCCCTCTCCTCCTACAGTTCTTTTCTCCCCCAAATCAACTCTCTGCAGCTTCTATGTACCACAATGTAACTGTTTCTCTACCCTAGTTGTGTAGCTTCCTCCCTCAAACTGATTTCTTGGGTGTTTAAAATGATCTGATATTTACCTAGCTTGATAGTACCAATGTACTTGAGAGATGAGGCAAGCATAGGGTCCCCTTACTTCTCCAGCATTTTAACTCCTCCCCATGAATGAATAAAAACTGTAATTTAGGTCCTAAATCTCCCAGCAGTCTCTAGGAGGATTTTTACTTTACTATCAACAGAAAATATTGACTTACTCTATGAGGACACATGAACTATAATAAAAGACATACAAACGCATGCATTCTAGTTAGACAGCCTATGTTCTCATTAAGTCAATAATACCTACATAAGACTTAAAAAGTTTTAATTATTCTCCCTCTCGCATTCCCCCTGCTTGTGTTCCTCTCTCGCTGTGTCTCTGTCAAATAAATAAATAAATAAATAAATAAATAAATAAATAAAATAAAATAAAATCTTAAAAAAAAAAAAAAAGGTGGCGCCTGGGTGGCTCAGTCGTTAAGCTTCTGCCTTTCGGCTCAGGTCATGATCCCAGGGTCCTGGGATCAAGCCCCACATTGGGCTCCCGGCTCCACGGGAAGCCTGCTTCTCCCTCTCCCACTCCCCCTGCTTGTGTTCCCTCTCTCACTGTGTCTCTCTCTGTCAAATAAATAAATAAAATATCTTTAAAAAAACAAAAAGTTTTAATTATACAACTAGTTGATCTATCATATTACAAATGTATTAAAGGTTGGCTTCAACCTTCATATTCAGCCAAAATTTGCCATATGGTTTCGGCTTAGGTTTTGGGAAGCCTAAACAGCTAAATACCTACTGTAACATCATTTATGGCACCTCTAAAATTATGCTTGATTAAAGAATGTATCATTTCATCAGATCTCATTCTCATTAGCATGACAACAAATATACAAAAAAGCTTATCATACCCAATAATCTACTTTCAAAAATAACTAAGCACTCTATAAACAGAACTTGAAGTGAAGATCTCCTTAATTTATAAAGTACATAAAAATGTATTAAATATATGTTAAAATATAAAAGTTTAACTATAAATGCATATTATTGCAAAAGTAGAATGATGTAGAGATTAAAAATGATTGTGAAAACTATTAGTTTTACATACAAAAACAATTAAGAACAGTCAGGTAATTAAATAAATACAAAATAGACTAACACTATGACTAGTAGAGTACATTAGCTAGCTAATTTTGGGAAAAAATACACCCTTTGTGTCAACAAATGGTCATAAAATTTTAAGAAAACAAAATAATTAAATGAATAACTCTGATACCCGCCGAAGTGTTTAGGGTATATAAGCATTCACAAAACTAAGCAAAATCTTTTAAGTTATTTATTTCATTTCAAACCATGGTCTATCAGGAAAAGTTCTATGTTTAAGAATATATCTTCTGACCATGAATTAAAAAGTGTCAACTTAGGCTCAATACTTCATAAGGAGGAAAAACTCCAAAAATCACACAAAACAATGTCTATGAGAAATCACCTCCTACCTGACATATTAAAATATACTAAGGATTAGGAAAAAAAAGAAATTAGAGAAAAATGAAGTAACCCCCCAAAATCTTGCTCATTCACTAAAAAGTAAGCATCTTTCAGTGCTGCAAACATGAATGAGAGTGTCTAAGAGTAATGTGGTAGCACGTAGGGCTAACAAATATTGTTATTATACTATGCGAGCATTTACATCAATAATTACATTTTTATATAAAATTTCAGATTTCCTCTTGTATCCCAGATGTAAATTTGTAAGAGATTGTTATTTGGCTCCTGTCCAATATTAATTCTGATCATCCACTCACATTTACTCTTAACAACCTTATAAAATACTACAAGCACTATTTTATGAGAAAACATACTCAGAGGGTAAGTACACTACTAATGGCTACATGACAAATTTAAAAAAACAAAAGGCTTACATATCTCACTTATGAAATTTTGCACTTTAGAATCTGTTTCTTATATTTCATAGTTACTATATCAATAAGAGAGAAACCAGCAGCAATTTCACTATTACACATGATTCCTATCCACTTTTGCCTATCTTTACAACAGTGGGAATAAATGTGAAGCCAGAAATGAAGAATAAGAAAGTTTAAGAATGCATACAAAATGTATGCTTCTTAAGAACAAGGAAGACATACAATTTTACAGATTTCAAATACAGGTACAATCAATTTCTCCTTTTTGCAAATACTGGAAAGTATACAGACATATACAAACATAATAATATAATATGTCATGGGGGAAATTTATAAAAGAGAAAAGAAGCAAACATTTTATAGTAAATCAGAGAGAGAAGAACGTATTTTTTAAATTGTTCCAATTTGGAAGATGTGAGTGATGAATGCACAAAGGATTTTTAACACATGGTACGGATGATACGTGGTTTGTCATTTCCTCTTATAAGCATATATCATGTGGAGTGATATACTTTAATTCATAATGCTTGCCTCAAAGCCTAAAAAATTTCACCCAGATTAGGAAAAATTACTAAAAGCTAAATTAAAATTCTAACTTTTCATTCGAATAAACTCTCTCTCAAATACCATCTTAACATTATTTCTTAGATAATTAAAAACTTAATAAAAATCATCTCTAGGATATTCTATTTACTTTCTTCTTCAAATAAAAATAGCCACTTCCACAAACATACACAAATGTTCAATTATCTAAATAGGCCATTAACATGACTACTACATTTCTATTATTAAGCCTACACAGTGACTTACCAATTCTTGGGGTAGCAGTGCTCTGTTCTGCAGGAGATGAAGTACTAAAAGCAGAAATTGGAATTTTCATCTGTATAGGACCTCGATTATTTGATGGACTATACAGTCCTGATGGGCCTACTGTAGGTAAAGAAGTCCTTGTGGCTTGTACAATAGAGTGTGCTGTTGGAACAGCCTGTACAGCAAGCGTTGTTCCTAATGGTGCAGCACTGGCAGGAGAGTTCCTTTGAATACTAGGACTGGCCACAGAAGGAACATTGTTTGGTTTAGTGGGGTTTGGCAAGGCTGGCAAGGACACTGGATTTTTGGTAAGACCACTCACTGTAGGTGGGCTTTGTACAGAAATGAACTCAACGTTGCCAGATGGTTGATTGGTCACTAAAGTCCCTGGATGGCTCTGTAGGAGTTGAGGCTGGGAGGATACCGCAACAGGTACATGCAAAATCACTGGTAAAGGTTGTAAAGAGATTGTAGGTTGGGGATTTCCACTAGGCACCTGAGTAGTTGCAACTACTGTAGCTGTGTTGGGTGCAGGAAGAACTGACGTTGCTGTTAGAGAACCAGAAGTCACTGGAGTCTGCAACTTAGGTTGACTACTGACAACTGTTGGAGGAGTTACAAGACTGGTTGAAGATACTATAAAAAGAAAAAAGAAGTCTCAGTTTAAATGGCTGTCTTCATTTATCAGCTAGCATAATACAACACGATAAAATTTAACGAACTGCAGTAGATACAGTAAAGTCTTTTATAATAAAGTTTCTTCCAGATTTAAGTTCTGGAAATTCTTGGAATTAAATTTATAGAAGCATTTTTCATCTATGTTTGGCACACAGCTTATGATTAATATGGAAGACTGCTATCTCAGTATCAAAACAGTGTCTGAAAATTATTATCATCACTTCAGAGTAACTGGAAAAATGACTGAAAAACACTGAAAACTTGGTAAAATTGTACAGATATTTTTGAAACTACAGTAAAAACATAAATGCCCTAGGACACTGACAATATATAAACTCAAACAGACAATCTAGTAAGAGTCATCACTATTTTTTTAAATCTATTTATTTGAGAGAGAAAGAGAGAGCATACAGAGAGGGTGAGGGAGAAGCAAGCTCCCCACTGAGCAGGAAGCCCGATGTGGGACTCGATCCCAGGGCTCTGGGATCATGACCTGAGCCAAAGGCAGTCGCTTAACCGACTGAGCCACCCAGGCGCCCAAGAGTCATCACTATTAATGAATAAAATAAGCTTGGTCATGGTATTTTATCACTTGGACCATGTGTGAAACCTCTATCTGTGAATCAAATTTTACTGAATTACCGGCAGGAGCTAGTATGGGGAGGCTCCCTCTACTGACACTCTAGTGACATTATAGGATTTGGGAAATAAAAGAGTAAAGATGGGAGATGAATTAAGAAATAAGGGAACTGATACCAAAGACCAGAAAAAAATCAAAATGCTGGTCACTGGCATTTTACAATAATTTTGGTTTAACTATTTGTTTATTCTCAATTAAATGGGTTTCAGACTGATGATCAAGTGTCTTTCTCACGGATCTGTACTCTTTCCAAAGTCAAAGGCACACTAGAGCAGCAATCTTCAGTGTTATCCAGGGCAGGACACCTGGGATTACAGAGACCCTCTCAGGGAGTTGGCAATGTCAAAACTATTTTTATAACAATAATAAGACATTACTTGACTTTTTCACCATGTAAATATTTGCACTGATAGAGCAAAAGCAATGGTGAGTAAAACTTGATGCCTTTTTCACCATGTAAATATTTGCACTGATAGAGCAAAAGCAATGGTGAGTAAAACTTGATGCCTCAGTACAAAACTCAAGGCAGTGAGTGGTACCTAACTCTCACTGCATTCTTTACCACTACATATTTACAGTAAAAGACAAAGTGAGCTTCACTGAAGAATGTCCATGATTTAGTAGTAAGAACTATTTATTTTATTAAATCTGAACCCATGAATACAGGTCTTCTGAATATGCTGTGTGAAGAAATAGGAAATACACAGTAAGCATTACCACTGTATGCCGAAGTAGCATGGCTGGCTCAGGGAAAAGCGCTTATATTATTATTGTCTGAGTTATAAAGCTAACAGCGTTTTTCATGGAAGACCATTTTTACTTGAAAGAAGGATTTATAGACATACTGTGATTATTCACATTTGGGTATTTGACTAATCTTTTCTTGAAAATAAACCTTGGCAGTCAATTCAAAGAAAATAAGTGCAATGGTACAGTTTACTGAGTTTATTGGCAATGATACATTTGAGTTTGAAAAATCAGAATTTTGGAAAAACTTGTATATGCCACTGAGAGCATGACAACTTCCCAAATCTTCAAAGACTTTTCTGACAAAAATCGACAGTGAAATAAATAAATGTGATTTTTTAAAAGTTTAATGAGATATGTCAACAATTGAAGCCTTATATAACTCAGTGAATATTTTCCAAATGATTGATGAATGATATTAGCAAAAGATCCATCCAAGTACAAGATAGACAAATGGATTTTTTTTTTTTTTTTTTTTAAAGAATGGGGGCCGGGGGTGGGAAGGGGGCAGCCAGAGATGGGAGAGAGAATCCCAAGCAGGCTCCATAGTGGGCATGGAGACCAACCAAAACCAAGAGTCAGACGCTTAACTGACTACACTACCCAGGTGCCCCCAGACAAATGGATTTTAATGAAAAAGTCAAAAAAATTCATTGTTATGGTTTCACATTCCATTTTTCAACTAACCTTTAAAAAACTACTGCCTGTGTCAAAGAAAAATATCCACAAATACTCTAAAAGGGCTAGCCCTTTTGCAACTATCTATTTTTATTAGGCTGAATTTTCTTCACATATTTCAATCAAAACAACAAATTGCAACAGACTGAATGCATAGATATAAGAATCTAGCTATCTTCAACTGTCTTAATGTTTTAAGTGTAAGAGAATTTGTAAAACTGTAAATAGTAACTCTTCTCACTAATTGTTTTTAGCTTGAAAAAGTTATTTTTCATTAAAACATGTTATTTGTGTTACATGATATAGGTTTGTTATTATTTTTAAATAGACATTTAAAAATTTTTATGTTTTGGTGCCTGGATGGCTCAGTTGGTTAAGTGACTGCCTTCGGCTCAGGTCATGATCCCGGAGTCCCAGGATCAAGTCCCATGTCGGGCTCCCTGCTCAGCAGGGAGTCTGCTTCTCCCTCTGACCCTACCCCCTCTTGGGCTCTCTCTCTCACTCTCTCGCAAATAAATAAATACAATCTTTTAAAAAAATAAAAAATAAAAATTTTTATGTTTTAATTTCTACTACAGTAAAAATCAATTAATATAAGCCACATTTACATTATTATTATAAGACTATACCAGGATACAGAAACCAGAAAATTTGAGAATCACTAGACTTGAATTTCTATATTTGCATTCATATCTATAATCCTGATTTTTAAATAAATTTTTGTACTTATTTAATTTCAGATAAATACCTCATTCCCTTAGATCATTTCAATTTCAGAAAGATGTAATAAGAGAGAACCAAAGACTTCAATTCCTAAGAAAATGAATTTTCTTTAAAAAATTAAAGAGTTTTCTTTAAAAAATTAAAAAAATATTACCTGTATTCACAGGGGTTGGAAAAGTTGGTGGTGCACTCTCACTTACATTCCTTTTAGACTCCAGCATCTGTCTCACTGTGCCTGCATTTCTACAAAATATATATATACACACAAACAGTCAATGAAAATGCCATTCAGGAGGACATCAACTAATGAATAGAGAAAGCAGTGGCCGATAGGGGAAAGCATGGCAAGACATGGGTACTGTAGCACTAAAGTACAAATGACTGCAGAGGCAAAGACGGCACACAGACTATAGCATGCCAGGGTCTATGGAATTAAGAGAGTCTTTCTCTTATATTCTAATGTCCTCAACACTAACAAAAAGCCAAACGTACATCCTAATATCTGCAGACATCAGTTTTTATCACCCTTGATCAAAGCATTTCTCAATTACTTTGAAAGAATACTATTTAGTACAAGTGGTTAAAGAAGTCTTCAGTGACCAAAGAAAACCTCAAAATTAATTAGCAAAACCAGTAACCACAAATGAGCAATTATAACAAAACAAAAAAGAAGAAAATCTAAATCCAGTATACCAAACACTTATCTCTACATAAACAAATAGGAATACATTGAAACATTTTCCTGTAAAATAAAATCAGAACCTTGTTCTGTTTTTTAAAAACTTGACAAACAGAATGTTTATAATTCTCACCTGTACGGCACATTGTTATTATTGCTGTTGATGTCAACTACAGACTTTCCTGGTGATACTGGTGGGTTCGGTGGATTCTGGGGGAGAAAAAATACCCAGGTAAAATAAAACCCAATACACAAGGAATCTTTAAAAATAAGACATTACCTTGACCTATTGTGATCATTTCAAACGTATCTGAATGTTGAATTACTATGTTGTGTACCTAAAACCAATACTATAAAAAAAATAAAACCTTATATGTTTTCTCAATATATTATCTCTTTACTTCCAGAAAATATTACTAGATGAGAAAAGAATTTGAATCTTGGCATTGCCACTTACTTAATCCAATGCAACAACTGCTTATTATGTGAAAGATTAATATAATAATTCCTATAGCTCAGTTTTTTAAGATGAATAAAGAATGTGAAAATGGTTTACATGCTAAGGTTTTATAAATATTAATATGAATCTAAAGAATAACTAGACATACTCATTCAATATCAAGTGAATGCCTACTACATACCACACATAGCAGGCACCAAATTACCAACAGAAACTCAACAAAGTACATATTTATTCTGAGGTATTTATCTGAGAAATAGTTGATTACCAACAAAGTGGTGCCTAAGGTCACAAATCAAAATTCTCAAATCAAAATTATTTTTACAATTATTGCTTAAAAAATAACTAATTGCCACTATGTGACTTATTAACATCATAAAGGGATATCTCAATTCTAAACTTAAGTATCAACTAATTTCAGCCTTTTCCCCCAAAAAACAGGGAATATAGAAATGGAATTCTTATACATATTAATTACCATTACTTGGGCCTCAGTCAGTAATTACACTATCATTTATTTCTTAAGAAATATAAATAATTCTCCTCAAGATTTAATTAATATAATAATAAATATTAAAACAAAGGTGGTAGGTGCTTAAGATCACATTAAGTAGATGCTACTAATCACTCTTCAATCAACAAATCTTGATGCTTTTTATAGGATAAAAGAGTAATTTTAACCAAGTATAGCATTATACTAGTTACATGTGTAGAGAAGAGACAAAATTACAATGAATTGCTCTAAAGGTGCTTAAAATCTGCCTGTGGACAAAAACATATGAAACAAATAGAAAAGCAAATTAAAATAACAGTGCAGTGCCAACGGAAAAAGTTTTTTAAAAAGTTTTTGAGGAAAATGCATCTTCATATAGGTTAGTACATTCAAAATAGCTAAGATGAAGATAAAGAACATTTCAGGAAGAAAAAGAAGGAATAAAAGCATAATAAATAAACAAATAAAACTGGTTTAGAACATGGTATGGTCACTGGATGGAAGACCTTAAGTACTATAGTGTGGTGACACCAGCAGATGGCAGAATGGGAAGACCAACACCTTCATCACTCATGGGATGGATCAAATTTCCTTTGTCAGAATTCTAGAAGCCAGTCAAGAGGTTATAGGACCCCAAGCAACAGCAAGGCAAAGAAGAGGTGCTCTGTAGTGGGTAGGAAGTCTGTTGCACTTATCCACCATATCCTACATATCCTAAACCCCTCCCGATACATTACAGCACAATCAAAATTCCTGCCTTGTGGCTTCTCCTTCAAAAAGGAGAGAAGAGTGGAACTTTCATGCAATATTCTGGCTTTTCAGGGGGCTGTCCAAGGCACTGGTTTCTGTTTCACCTGACTTGGAGGAAGTAGCAAATGTTGGATATCTAGGGGCCAGATGAGAACAAAGGTGAGCCTATTTAGCTTGGTACAGCACCAGAAAAATCATACTAACACAGACAGCAAGGAGACCTCCAAAAGCATGGTTTATAAAACCAAAACTGTAATATGGAAGACAGATGTCAGTGGGGGAGCTTCTGAGTACAAAGAGACAAGCCTCTTCAGATAAGAGATTATACACACAAGCTCAGAGAAAATGCATCTCTAGAACAGGTTTGAGAGGTTCCCAGAGTATATACCTGAACTGAGTAGTAAAGATCTTCCTCTGTACAAAGATACTGTGAAAAGACAGGGAAAGGTGGTTGTTTTTTCAAATGCCCAAATTTCAACATAAGAGAACTAAACATACAAGGAAACAGAAATAAATCTCCAGAAATTGACCCTAAAGAAAGGGGGATCTGTGAATTACCCATTAAAGAATTCAAAATAACCAACATTAAGATGTTCAATGAGGTAAAAGAGAACACAGAAAGAAAACTAAATGAAATTAGAAAAATTGTGCAAAGAAATAAAAATATTGACAAAGAAACAGAGGCTCTAAAATAGAACCAAAGGAAATTCTGGATCTGAAGAATAACTGAATTGAAAAATTCACTACATGGGATCAACACCAGACTGTATCAAGCAGAATAAAGACTTAGTGGACTTGATGACAAATCATTTGAAATTATCAAGTTATAGGAGCAAAAGAAAAAAGAAAAAAAGTGAACAGAGCCCAAGGGATTTATGAGGCACCACTGAAAAGACCAATACATAAATATGGGAATCTAAGAATAGAAGAGAGAGAAAATGAGCAGAAAGCCTCTGCAAATAATGGCCCCAAACTCCCCAAATTTGAGGGTTCTCAAATTCAAAATGCTCGGAAACCTCCAACTAGAATAACTCAAGAGATCTATACTGAAAAGCACAGACAAGGTGTCAAAAGTCACAGATAAAGAATTTTGAAAGTAACAAGAGAAAAGCAACCCATTACATTCAAGGTAGCTCCCATAAGATTATCCGTAGTTTTCTCAGCAGATATCTAGAAGGCTACAAGAGAGTGGGATGATAGATTCTAAGTACAGAACGAGAAAACTACCAAGCAAAAATAACTATATCCAGTGAAACTTTTATTCCAAAATGAAGGCAAAATTAAGATTTTCCTAGATAACAAAAAAGCTGGGGAAGTTTATCACCATTAGATCTGCAATACAATACAAAAAAAAATTGCTAAAATGAGTCAATCAAGTGAAAATGAAAGGATACGAGATGGCAACTTGAAAGCATACAAACAGATGAAATGCTCTAGTAAAGGTAAATACACAAACAAATACAGAATCCTGCATTACTGTAAGGTGGGTGCATTAAATCACATTTAATTGTATACAATTTAAGCATAAAAATAACTGTAAATTTATGTTAAAGGATACAGAATGTAAAAAGATATAATAAAACTAATAACCAAGTTGTGGGAGCAAGGTATAAAGAGTGAGGTTCTTAAATGTGACTGAAGTTAAGTTGTTACCAGTTTAAAACAGTTTACATAATCCCCATGGTAACCACAGATACAATACCTATAGAAGATACACAAAAGGAAATAAGAAAGGAATTAATGATTGTCACTACAATAAGTAAATAAATACATAGGAAGCAAGCAAGCAAAAAAAGAAAAAGAACAGTTCCAAGACATATAGGTAATAATTAACAAAATGCTAATGATTAGTCCCTCCCTACAGAAATTACTTTAAATCCCAACGGATTAAATTCTCATAGAAAGACATACATTCGCTTAATGAATAAAACAACAAGATCCTGTTACAGGTTGTTAACAATGAACACACTTTAGATCTAAAGACACACACAGGCCAAAATTATAAGGATGAGAAAAGGTATTCCATTCAAATGGTAACCAAAAGGGTTATATAACCATACTTATAAAAGACAAAATAGAGCTGAAGTAAAAAACTGTCACAAGAGACAAAAAGGACATTATATAATGACAAAAGCATCAACTGACCAAATAAAATATTTATACATTTATATGCACATAACATCAAGGCCACCAAATGATGTAACATTGACAGAATTGAAAAAGAAACAGAGCAATACAGTAATAGGAGTCTTCAGTCCATCATTCTATATAATAGATAGATGATCCAGAGAAAAATTCAATAAGGAAATAGCAAAACTGAACCAATACCAAAGACCAAATGGACCAGACATTTGTAGAAATTTTTACCCAACGGCAGAAAAATACAAATTTTTCTCAAGTGCACACAGAACATTCTCCAGGATAGATCATATATTAGGTCACAAAATGTGCCTTACCAAATTTACAAAGATGAAACTCATACCAAGTATCTTTTCCAACCACAATAGATCAAAAGTAGAAATCAACAGCAGAAGGAAAAATGGAAAAGTCACATATATGCAGAAATTAAAACACACTTATATAATCTAATGGATAAAAGAAGAAATCACAAGAGATATTAGAAAATATCTTAAGACAAATAAAAACAAAAACACAACATACGGAATTTATGGGAAAATTTATGCAGCAAATGTAGTACTAAGAGGAAAATTTATACTGGTAAATGCTTCCATTAAAAAAGAAGGAAGATCTCAAATCAACAACCTAACTTTACACTTCAAAGGACTAGAAAAAAGAAAAACAAAGTAAGCTCAGGAGAGGGAAGGAAATAATAAAGATTATAGCAGAAATAAAACAGAGAAACAAAGTCAATAGGAAAAAAAATCAACTAAGAGTTGGCCTTTTAAAGGATCAACAAATTGGCAAAACTTTACCTAGATTACCTGTGAAAAAACAAAGAAGACATAAATAAAATCATAAATGAAAGAGGAGGCATTAACTGATGCCACAGAATAAAAATGGGATCACAAAAGACTACCATAAACAATTATAAGGCAACAAATTGGATAACCTAGAAAAAATGGACAGCTTTCCAGAAATATACAACCAAGAATGAATCAAGAAGAAAATAAAAATTTGAACAAGATCTATACAAGTAGTGAGACTGAATCAGTAATCAAAAACATTCTAATAACAAAAAACACCAAGGACCAGATGGCTTCAACGCAGAATTCTACCAGACACTTAAAGAAGAATTAACAACAGTCTTCCAAGTCTTCCAAACAACTGATGAGGAGGAAAAAATTTCAAACACATTTTATGAAGCCAGGATATCCTGATACCAAAACCAGACATCACAATAAAAGAAAACGACAGCCTAATATCCCTGATGAACATAGATACAAAAATCCTCAACTAAATATTAGCAAACCAAATTCACCAGCACATTGAAAGGATTATACAACATGACCAGGTGAGATTTATCCCTGAAATGCACGGAGAGCTTGA